AGGATTAAGAAAATCTAATTATTTGAAAATATGTGATATAATTTAATTGAAAATCAAATAATATAAGAAATACAATATGGCAATAAAATAGATAAATATTTGATAAATTTCTCAATTTTATTTTATCATTTCACGGGGGTAATAATTTTTTTCGTGTTTGATTTTTTTACGGGGGTAATAAAATATTCAAAGAGTAAAAATCGTTCAAATAAAACATGAGAATAAATTTATCATGATCGTGACACTTGTCAAGTCGGTCGACCATATTTTGACACGCCTATACAAGTGTAAAAGATTTTTTTCAATTAGATTTAGCTACATGTCAAAATATTTATCTATTTATCTTTATTTGTAAAACAGTAAAAATTAAATCTATTATAATTAGGATTAGAAAAATCTATAACGTAATTTAAATAAGAATAGAAAATCTAGTTATTTGGAAATATGTGAAATAATTTAATTGTATATCAAATAATATAAGAAATAAATATGTGAATAAAATAGATAAATATTTGATAGATTCGTGTATAAGTAGTTTTGTATTCACATTCTCAATTTTATTTTATCACTTCATGGAGGTGACATAACTTTGTGTTCCGTTTTTTCATGTTTGATTTGTTTCATGGGGGTTATAAACTATTTAGAGAGTAATAATAGTTCATATACAAATATGAGAATAAATTTATCAACATTTTTAAAAATATATATTTGAGTAGTAAAATAGAAAAATGAAATAAAAAGGTACACCTTATTTCAATTCGAAAACTAATAATTTGAGTGATAAAATTTAATTTTAAATCAAATAACAAAAGCATCAAAACTAATAAATAAATGTTATGTTTCTCAATGGTTTTACAACAACGTTATCACTTTTATCTTATTTAATTTAACGGATATTCTAATTTTGTTTTGTACAATTATATATTTTATTTTTTCACAGATTTATAAGAGATCTAAAACAAAACTCGCATATATACGGATCTTTAATCTAATATTAAAGAAAGTTTAAACTCAATTTTGTTCTTTTATTTAACTCTCATTTAGAACCAGATCTTGCATCCACAAATGCCTAAAAATTGAGAAATCAATAGGACGATTTCTAGAAAGATGAGTCAAAAGCTCGTCTTACATGTACATAGTAAAAAATGACCAAAACAAAAAAGAACACAGGGAACTAAATTTAGCTAAATCAATTGAAAAACTTCTCCAAATTAAGTAATCCAGTGAATGCCACAATGATCTGAGCTTGAGTTCCACTGAATTTGGCAATAGCGTTGGTCAATTTCACTCAGATATCAAGAAGAAAATAAAACTAAACATGACATAGGTTGTAAATTATAATTAAAGGCCAATGCCATGTGTTTAGTTAGCTCTTTTATGGACTTACAAGCCTCTACGACACAAATAATTTTAACATATTTAAATGTCATTTAGTAATAAAATAATTCTAAACTAGCATGTTTGATTTGTTCACACTTTACAACTGATGCA